TATATATATATATATATATATATATATATACACACCTTGCTACGTGTACTGCATTAGGCTAACCGACACTTGTCATTTGCACTTATATATTGTTGCTCTTTTGTTCGTTTTGACTGCTTTTATTGTCCTCATTTGTTAGTCGCTTTGGATAAAAGCGTCTGCTAAATGACTAAATGTAAATGTAAATATAAATGTAAATAAGATACAAAGATGTACCTTTCAGCAGTGAGAGCATTGCACCTTTTTTGAGAAACTTTTGTTGTCAAAATCTGATTAAAGTTTTTCATAAGATAGTATTCTTTCAAATTGCTGCACATGAAAAAATAAACATGCAATTTTTTCTGTTTGTTTTGATGTCTGTGAACAGCTGTGCAAGTATGGACACCTGTGAACTACAACAATTCCAGCTGCACCAGTTTCTGCTCATTAAAATGTGGGGAATTACACACACACACACAGCAGCCACACATGCAGAAGCATGTTAAAAGAAAATTAAAATTGTATTCAAAAAAAAAAAAAACATTCAACAATCTTGTCATTCAAAAAGTACAGTTGTGAAAACATATTATAGACTCTGCAACAGAATTTGTTTTAAATGTAAAGTAAACACCACATATTCATCGCCCATTTCTACAGCAAATCTTGAAAAGTGCATGTCTTATTTGGCATCATTAAGCAAGAAGCACATTTAAAAGCACAGGCCCAGCATGGTGTGTTTTTTTAGCGGTCTTGCGCTCTGCTCCTCTCAGTTGGTATGGTTTGGGCCTGCTGTACGTGTACGTGTGTTACGGTGTTGTCTGGGAACTGGAAGTGGCCTCGCTTGCTCTTCCAACTCCACTTCTTTCTCAGCTCTAAAAAAACAAATGCTGTAAGACTTCTATAACACTGTAGCAGTTACTATAGTGCATTTATGCTTTATACTTAAACTTATATGAACTGTTAACTACCAATTAGGAAATAAACAAATGTTGTGCCCCAGAATACATAAGAAATGTGACCCAGGACCACAAAACCAGTCATATGGGTCAATTTTGTTTAAATTTATATTTATACATCATCTGATTTATGGTTTGTTATGATAGGACAATATTTGGCCGAGATACAACTATTTGAAAATCTGGAATCTGAGGGTGCAAAAAAATTAAAAAAAACTGAGAAAATCGCCTTTAAAGTTGTCCAAATGAAGTTCTTAGCAATGCATATTACTAATCAAAAATTAAGTTTTGATATATTTACGGTAGGAAATTTACAAAATATCTTCATGGAACATGATCTTTACTTAATATCCTAATGATTTTTGGCATAAAAGAAAAATCGATCATTTTGACCCATACAATGTTTTTTTGGCTATTGCTAAAAATATACCCAAGCGACTTAAGACTGGTTTTGTGGTCCAGGGTCACAAATATGGACTGTGTAAATATAACATCCCGACATTTATCCATTTTGACATTACCAGTAAATATACAATATGGTGTAAACACCTGTATTCTGTCTAAAACTGATAAATGGCAGATCTTAAAACTCAAAAAATGCAATGCTGCATTCTAATGTACAGTATTAAAAAGGCAAAGGCAATCTAAATGTAAAAATAGGGAAACAACCACAAACATTTAAATATCCAACACCGACCAATACTGAAAAATTACAAATAAGGTCAAATTAAATTAATTTTAACAGAATATATAATGCAAATACAACATTAGATAGGCCTATCTTATTTTGGGTTAACATTTAGATTTTTTTAACTATCCCTTCAAGTCAATATAAAAGCTGTACAAACTTAAGACTGACTGTAACTAATACTAGTATCACTGTATTACACAGAGAAATGGAAGTGGAGGAAGTACCTGTTGCACTGGCAGTAGTCTTTGTCTGTAAGAGGCTGCCGCATGGATCTCAGCTTCCTCACCCTCTTCTACGTAAAAAAAAAAAAAAACCCACAACATTAAATGAGCCACTTCCTTTCTTGATTGCTTGTTTTCTTTCTCTCACCTTCATCCGTTTGTTCCTTCGTATGACAACACCAATCATGATGATAAGTCCGATCAGAAGCACAGAACTGGCTCCTACAGCAATCCAGATCCACAGCTTTAGACCATACACTTCCTTGGTCAAGGATTCCATAACTGCATTTGGTTTCCCTTTCCTTTTAGTGGACCCCTTTCCACCTGTTCAGTAATCATTATAACGGAGACTGAATCTGGGATTTTGCTTAGTGCACATAAAAGGGCCTCATTTCTACTGTAGAATGAGATTCATGCTTCTAGGGATGCAGTGATAATAAAATTCTGACAGATACCAATATTTATTTTCATGTTATAGCTGATAACCGATAAATGGCTGATATTATACTATTCTGTCAAATTAAAAATAACACAAAAGATCTAATTTAGGCATCTAAAATGTTAATGTAAAGTATGAAAAAATATATTTATTATTTTAAATATTATCTTTAAGTGAGAGTTAGATGACAGCTACCATAATCTAAATGTAAATATAGGGTAAATGAGCATACACAATTAAATGTCCATTATCAATATGTATATACACAGTACTGACTAATCTCTAACATCTGCCAATAAATGATAAGGTTCTGATAAAAAGTGTGCATCCCAAGACTGATTCTGTTAAGCTGTGCAGTGTTGTTTTGTTTTACCTGAAGGTTTGTCCACAACCCTCAAAGTCGTCTCGACACTTAGACGCACTCCACCCTCAAACTCCACTGTACACACAAACGTCCCTTCATCACTGCTCTGCACCTGAGAGAATATGAGGGGAAATTACTGTCAACATACAAAAAAAATATTTTTTTTTGGTATGGATTATTCCATGAGGAACCTTTAACATCCATGGAAACTTTTCAGATGCACAAATAGCTCTTTATACAGGAAAAGCATTCTTTAGATTATTAAAAACCGTGTAAAGTATTCACATTTTTCAACGTGACATCAAAGATGGTGCTGAGTTGCCCAGTAGTAAAGTTGACTTTTGATAAATCCTTGCCATTCCAGTGTAAGCCTTTGCTTGGTGTGTTCGTCAGGGTTGGGAAAGAGACTTCTTTGAGGGGGTCAGCCTTCCATTTCCCACCCACAACACGCTGAAATACACGCTGAGGAAGAGAACAGGGCAGCTCTATGTCATCCCCTTTAGAAGCATTAACAGCTGTGGTCTGGAGACCTGTTGGAGAACCAGACAAATGTCACTGACAGCATGAAATGTGAAGCATTATAGTAATAAAAAACACTCATTCTGAATAACAACTACTGAGGGGCACCAACCAACAACAGTCAATGTTACACTGAGCTTCAAGTCATCCTTGACTAGACACGTCCACTGGCCTGCTTCATTTGAAGTCACAGACTTCAGGTGAATTACTCGATTTTTTTCATTATATTTTTGACCATTAGGTCTCAGCCACTGTACTTCCTTGTTTGGGTCTCCTGTAATGTCACAGTGCAGCTCTGCATCACTAGACTGCACCAGCACTGGGCCTGGTTTAACAAAGACTGAAAGAGAAATGGGAATAAATGTGAAAAATACAATAATTCTAAAATTAAATAGGTACAAACATAAAAAATCTCTCACCTGACACAATATGCACTATGTGTTCTTTCCCTGACTGCCTACAGAAATAGTTTCCAGAGTCTCTTGTCTCCAGTCTAGGAACCTTCAAAATGTCTCCAGATGCAATTGCTTTTAACACAATATGGGAAGGACCTTTAAAATAAAAATCAATTACAGTGACTACTCACAAAATTTCATATTCAAATCATTTTTGGATTGAAAGGAGAACTGATACCCTTCCGTCTAGTCCCACGTCTGCCATCAATGGTTAAGATCAACACGCCGTTAAATTTCCATTCTATATTACTGTTTGAATCCACTCCACACTTCATGGAAACCTCATCCCCGACTTGCTTATAAAACACATCACATTTCCCACACCATATACACAGTGCTGATGGAGAGAAGGATGGAGAGCAAGGAGGGTTAAACACAGCAAGACGAAGAAAGCTCTACAGGCAAAGTATAGACTGCTTAAAATGAAATGTATAGTACAGCTTAGAATAATACAATGCATTTTATGAATTTATTTATGCTTACCAAGAAGAAAAAACAGGATCTTGCAAATTGCCATTCTGTTCCTTTTTCTAAAAAAATATAGTCAGTGAAAATGAGTTTCTTTTTAAATAAAAAGCCTGGAGTTATATTAAGATTTATTTTATAAAACCCTAACTAGTTTATTTTTGTTCATAAAAAGAGGCTCATGCTTTTACAAAGAAAAAAGAGCAAACAGGAAAAAGCATATGTGGCTATGAGCCACAAACGCAACTCACTTAAGTCATTTTGTTTCGTTTTCATTCGTTTCGTCTGGTCTAGAAATATTCATAATTTAAACTGATTAAATTCGAATAATCCGAGATAAATGAAAAATTAAAATGACTTTCAAGCTAAACAAACTACCAGCAAAATATAGAATGCCTCCAGATTGCAGACTACACATACTTAAAAAACAAACAATGAAAATGTGTACTTCTAATGTATATTAGCCTAATAAACGCAATATTCCCTTGGTATTTGTAGTGCAAATGAACATTTCTATTTGGATATGCAATAATATTACAGATTATTGTCATTAAAGGATAGGATGACACATTTTCATAAATCCTGCAAAAATCATGTGATTATAGGTTATTATAATCTAAAAATGTGTATTTGTCGTTTACTTCCAACTCTTAACAATTTTAAATTTGAAAAAAACAAATGCAAGTCAGTCGATAGACATATGATTAGCCTACATGTTTAATATTGAAAACACAATAAAGTTAACGAAAAGATAAAACATGAGTAGGCTATCATGGCTTCAGATCGAGTGTTAAAGAAAATCTTCTTTTGGTTGTTAAATACCTCGAGCAGCAAAAATCAATCATTCTGCGGGTACTTATATTTTTATCTTGATTTTCCGTTTTTATTTAAGAAACCATTCGCTTATGCAGGTTATGTATTTTTTTTATAGCTGAACGCTCTTCTTTTCATACTCACGTTTGGATGCTGTTTTATGTTTGTTGACAAAGTTTGAGGCAAGTTCTGCGCATTTAGTCCAACTGGTAAAAACTAGCGTGTGCGGGAAACCAGCCGACACAAAAACCTGAACCTGCACAAGAAACTGAAATGAGGTATGAGAGCGGAAGAAAGCAAACAAAAATTGTTTGGAGAGAAACAACCAATGTAGGGCAGAAAACGCCTCTCACATGCACTTCACTCTGGGAAATCCTTGAAATAAGGTTAGATTTGAGAGTTAAGTTTATAAATAGGGTCATAATAACGTAATATACAAATAAATTAATAAAAATACATAATCGATGTCAGCATTTGCATATTAATACAAGTATTTTACTTACCAAAGCTTATCAGCAGTGAAACATCACGAGGCTTTAACTTTCCGTTGTTAACTAGATAAATTACCAAATGTGATTCGTGTTCTTTATACACTTAGAAGAGTTTCATGCTTTTACGTTTATCAATACTCTTTTCACTTTCAGTATTGCCAGTGCATTCACGTTACTTTCTGTCACTGCATTTGGCAGAAAATTCCTTCATACACACCCATAAACAATACACAGAGTCAGAAGCAGCAAAGAGACACTTTTTTATTATTTTAAAGCAACAAGTCGTGGCCTAATGGTTAGAGAGACGGGACTCATAACCCAAAGGTTGCGGGTTCGAGTCTCGTACCGGCAGGGATTGTAGGTGGGGGGAGTGAATGTACAGCGCTCTCTCCCACCTTCAATACCACGACTGAGGTGCCCTTGAGCAAAGCACCGAACCCCCAACTGCTCCCCGGGCGCCGCAGCAAAAAATGGCTGCCCACTGCTCCGGGTGTGTGTTCACGGTGTGTGTGTGTGTTCACTGCTGTGTGTGTGCACTTAGGATGGGATAAATGCAGAGCATTAATTCCGAGTATACCATACTTGGCCACATGTCACTTCACTTCAAAAAGAACTAAAGGAATTCTTTCCTCCCACCAAAAAAGAGAACAAAACCTAAGGAAAAAAGGTGAAACTGCACAATACCTTTTGCATTCATTTTTTAAATTAAAAATTCCAATATATAATATTTAGCATTTTTTTGTGATTTAGTGACATTTACTTGCCATTAAACAATTGCAGAAACATTCTGGAACACATAAAGGGAAGGAAGGTGGAGCTTAGCTCTAAAAGCGATGATGTCACAATAGCCACTATCCAATCAGGGTGAGGCAGGAAGGAGACTAGTGTGTGTGTGTGTGTGTGTGTGTGTGTGTGTGTGTGTGT